CCTAATTAAAAGTGAAGCCTCTATAGGATGGATCCCAAAACTGTATAGCTATCCTTACCAGCTGTTCATCGATCACTACTGGAATGAGGGATGCAATCTACCTATACTTCTTGTAAAAGCTTTCTTTTTTTCTTCACTTAACTGACTCCAAATAGTAGCTAAGTCTTCTAAATCATTTTGTGTGAGATTCAAATGCACTTTCTCAGGCAACTCAAACACATAGCCAATAAGCAAGCAATCTTTATTCTTTTGTTGGGCTTCTTTCGACCAAATATATACTTCATTATACGGCTCACATGGGACACTAACTAAAGATAAGTAAATCTGTAGTTTTACGAGATCCATGAAAACTTCTTGAAAGAAATATGTCTTAGAGCAAATATCTTGATGCAGAACTGTATGTTATGATTAATGCAAAAAAGAAAAAAATGAAACAAAATTGAGTTATGTGAGGATGTGGTTTGAAAACAACATTTTTTTTTTAGTTTTGAGATTTTTTGTTTTGTTTTGTTTGTTTTGTATTACACATAACTTTTATTCTTAGGTATTTCCTACAAGAAGGTGGATGAGGCTGTACGTAAGGCTGGTTTCTTAAGCTTATTATATGCTCGGTTTGGATTGACACGTGTCTAAAGGTTCCCAAATTGTTCCTCACTGTCATCCACACTGAACTAGTCAGGCACCCCAATCCTCATCCATTATAGGCTACGAATGGAAAGGGTTCAATTTGAATGGAAGTATTTTGCTTGCTATTACGGAGGTTATCACCTCATGAGGGCATAGGTACTCTACTTCCTCCTATAAAAAATGGAGCCCAATATAGAGCTCATGCATAAGATGCACCATGTCATTGTGTGTGCAAATATATCCTAATTTATTGAGAGTAAAAAAATAAATAAATAAAGCATAAGAGGCATAGTAAAGAAACGTGTGTGAATTTTTTCTTTTTGATTTGTTTGTTAGTTTTTTTTTTTTTACCTTTTTATTGAAAGTGAAAAATAAAAAACTAAGAAACCGAGTAGGATTATTTAAATCAAAATTTAAGGATAACACGTAGTTAATTTGGCTTGACTCTCAAAAATAAAAGGCATCCCCAGTGGAGTCGCCAAGCCTGTTGTAACAGTTTTATGTCTGCCCGATGAATTTGAAAACAAAATAAAAAATAACAACGGAGTCACCACTAAACTTTTTTGACAAGGTGCGATTGACCACCTATTAGACATATCCTTTTAACGAAATCTTAAAATTAATTAAAATTTATTAAAAGGATAATTTTAGGGTCTGCATAACAATTTGGGTTCAGGAGTCAGTTACATGTAGGGAAGAATTAGCACCTCACAGCGCCCGTTTAAAAATGGTACTACTTAATTATGTGTTATCCTTTGATTTTGATAAAAACAGTCTTATTTTTAGTGTTTGAAAAAATAATTTTCTTGATTTTTTTTATTGATACTCAAATTTATTCAAGAAAAATAAATTAAGACCTTTTTTATTGAAATAGTTCTTAAAATGTTCCATTACGTTGGTAACATTAGAAGAACTCTTTCTCACCTAAAGATTTCTTAGGCATCACTTCTTGGAATACCTTAGAATCTCATTCTTGAAGGTTCAGATTTACTTTTCATAAAAAATATGTTATGCATGCAATGCAAATAATAACATGTTGATGCACACATTTATTTTTTATTAGAAAATTTTATTAATTTTTATTAATATTTTTCATTTTTAAAAAATGAAGAAAAAAAAATTTTTATTATATTGAAAATTTTCTATAAATATTCTAATACACTGGTAATATTTAAAAAAATATCTTTTCTCACATAGAGATTTCTTAAAGCATCTCTACTCAGAATACTTTTAGAATCCCAACATTGGATAAATTTTCCTTTTTTTTCATTTTTTATTACTTATTCTTAATTTATTAATTAATTTTTATTTATTATTTTATATATAAAAAAATTTTATTGTATTGAAAATTTTTTATAAATACTCCAATATACTGGTAGTATTTAAAAAAAAAAATTTTCTCACCTAGAGATTTCATAGGTATCACTACTCCGAATACTTTTGAATCTCATCATCAAATAAAATTTTTTTTATTATATATTTTAATATATATTTTTTATTAATTATTATTATAAAACAACAAAAATTTATTATGATAAATTTAAACATTTTAACATGCATAAATATTAAGAATAATAATTAAAATAACAAAAATAATATATAAAAAAAATCTAAAAGAATTCAAAATAAAATTTTTTTTACTTGAACCAGACCGATCAACAGTCCGGTCAATGCGCGGTTCGGTGTAACGATTCGATCACGTTCAGCGATTCGATTTCAGTTCAATCGGATTGGTCAGAGTTAAAGGTGAAGTTGGGTCAACGGATCAGGTGCGTGGACCTCAGGTCGGGTTACAGGTTGACGCGCAGATCCTTAGGGTCTTAAAATGATGTCGTTTTGAGGTTTTATTGAAACGACATCGTTTTGGCTTTGGCAGTTTCTATAAAAAGCCCAAAATTTTTTTTCGGCATTTCCTCCCTTCTCAGAAAAAAAACCTATCACCCAAGCGTAGAGGGGGTCGGCCAGTCGATGTTCGGCAACTATTGTCGTTGCTCCTGTTGCCATCGGTGGTCGTCGATCGATCGTCAAAAAATACCCAAAAACACCAAAACGTTTTCGTCAACCCCCTCTAGCAGATCTGAACTCCTTTTCACCAAAAATAGCCTCGATCAACGTAGATCGAGGTTTAAAGTTTCGATCTTTTTTTTTAAACTAAAACTAACTATTTTTTTTTGTTTCTGCAGGTCTTCCTTGGTGCTGGATTCCTCGTCAATTCGGCAAGGACTGTGATTTTTTTTATATTTTTTTGGTTGTTTTTCTAGCAAAAAGTTTTTTTTTGCAGTCTCTTCCTCCCCCTTTTTTTTTGGGTTCAGCTAGGAGCTCTATTTATAGAGCTTTGACCATGCCCTGTGCCTGAGTAGGTGGCATAGTGCTCGACATAGGGGTGTAAGCACGGGCTCCTCACCCTTTTTATTTCCTTTATCTTATTCGACAGTGGTAGGGTACAATGGTTAAGAGTATAGGGTTTGCAGGGTATGGGTGAGGGATGGGTGATCAGAGAGGTGGGTGGCCAATGGTGCCATGCAAGGCACCACTACCATCAGCCCCTTTTTTTTTATTTTGTATTTTATATTTTTGTTTAATTTAATAAAACAAAGAAAATAAAAGATAGGTTGGGCATAAAGAACAAAATGGTCTTCAGGCCCGATCGAAATCAGACTTTAGGCCCAGTCGAATTGAAATTGGACTTGAAGCCCAATTGAATTGAAATCGGACTTGAAGCCCAGTTGAATTGAAATCAGGTCTCATTCTGATAACCCGAGAACTATTAATTAAAATCTAGACAAATTTGGTGTCTACATTTACTAATAATGTTCAATTATGTATAATAGTAATTGATTCACTGGTATTGAATAGATCTTTAGTTTTTGCTGTTGGTACTTCGCATCATTTCTACAATTTTTTGTCATATCGAATTAAGGCATTTTTTATGATGCTTGTTACTTGTTCAATAAAATGCTTCAATGAAAACATAGCAGATGAGTTTCCATCCATTTAGGTTTATTTTTTCTTCTGTTGTTGCTTCTGAGTTTTAAAACCATGGTTTTTAAAAATATTTTATTTTAAAACCATGGATAAATTGATGAACCTTGTTGGAGTTGGCTGTAGCTTTTATAGTTAAATGTTCAAACCTAAACATGAATGAATTTGATAGATCACTTTCTTTCAGTTTTTGTAGTTAGTATTATTTGCGTCGAGAAATGGATTAAACTTTATAGTTTAACTTTTCTTTTTCTGGTGTGTTTGAGGTGGGGGTGTAGATACCCATTCAGAAGGAGACATGCCAAATTTTACACTCTTTCATATAGTTTTTTGACCCTTAACTGCCAGCATCATGAACTAATTGGTTGATATTTTGTTAGCTCATCTTGACACATTATTTGGCTGATTCCCTACATGCTATGTAAAGAGCTTTATTTTTTTTACTATTCCTTTAAGCATAATGGAATTGGATAAAAGAATTAGATGCAGTAGATGTAATGATGTAATTATGAAGACATGCTATTTTATATCTATTTAGTTATTTCTTTTTATTGAATCTTTTTTTATGCAACTATGATACTCACTTAATATTTGATTTCATTGTTTTCTTTGGTAGCTGCCTATGAAGGATGACTTTATCATTGCCCACTTGCAGTTTGTCTACACATGTTCCCATAGACCTATATTATCCTAATGGCTCTTTGTAAAAGCTTTCAGCTATGTGAATGGTAATCATTCTTTGTCATCTTATTTATTAGAATCTGCTCTTTGGCAGTTTTTGTGCAATTTTTTCTTGTTGACTTCTAGTTGGCATTATATTTCTTTCTTGGAACTCCATCGAGGCATCAAGTTATAAGTAACCTCAACTGGATAAACTCTTAACTTTTAGATGGCTATGCCCTATCTAGAAGTAAATATGAGAATATAAAGCTATAAGATGATAACAATATTAAATTTCTTTATTGATTCAGTTTGTGTATAAATATTCAAATTGGAACAATGTAGAGTTCAAAACTTTTTAAGAATGCTTGAAAAGCAACTTATCACCCTTGTGAAATGAGTTTTTTGCTACCAAGTTTAGTATTGTAGCTTACAAATGGGAAATGTTTTATTATACCTACCAATAAAAGGAAGATAGAATTGCCCTTTTCCTGCTTGATAACTTTTGGCATCATACATGAAAGTTATGGAAGATTGTCTAGTGGTACTTTCCCATTGCCTTTCATGGTCTATAAAAATAAATAAAGAACAAATTTGATATACTAAATAACAGATTACTTTTAAAATATTGATTCTTTTTTGTTGATAACGTTGTAAACAATGAGTTTTCGATTGTCAAAGTAAGTTTTTTTTTTTTTTTTGGAATGACCAAGAAAAGAATGGTGTAAAAGGCAGAGAGATACAAGGTGGAGGATGAGGATGTGAAAAAGAAGGTGAAGACCAAGAATGCCCTTGAGAACTACGCATACAATATTAGGAACACCGTGAAAGATGAGAAGTTTATTGGAAAACTTGACCTGGCAGACAAGCAGGAGATCAAGAAGGTCATTAATGAGACTGTTGAATGGCTTGATAGGAACCAATTAGCAAAAATTGATGAATTTGAGGATAAGTTGAAGGAATTAGAAGGGTTATGCAATCCAATCATTGCAAATATGTATCAAGGTGGTGGTGGAAATGTGCCCTTGAGTGGTGCTTGTTAGGTCAAAAGTCCTAATCTAATTCACATCAGCGAAAGCAAAATCAAATAATCAATCAAATACACAAGAGATAATAATTTAACGTAGTTTGGTCCAACCGACCTACATCCACGGATGAAAAAAAAGATCTACTAGATGTAGAGAATTACAAACATACAAATCAAATCATCAACCTCACTCAATAATAAATACTCATAAGACACTCTCAATCTCTTCTAGTCCTATGAATATTCTCAACCCAAACAAACACATACCCATATGCACCCTTTCAACACAAAAAAATACATACCCATATGTACCCATTCATCATATCTATGTGGACCCTCTCAATCTCCTCTAGTCAACTCTCAAACATTCAAACATACATACCTATAAGACGTAAAGCCTCGATACTCTTATGGGGTATCTATTCCATAAAACCTTAAAACTCTCTTACATATTTTTCTCATACCTAACCCTATAGAGACTCCATTTATTTATAAGCATACAAACTTGCCTATTAAGAAATCTTTTTTTCTTAAAATTCTTCTTATACAAGTCAAACTTGCCTATTAAAAATCTATTTTCCTCTTAGAATTCTTTTTCTACAAGTTTTCTTGTCTATCAAGCAATATCTAGTCAATCCCAAATAAATCTCTTATGGGATTTGAGTTACTATATCCAACAATCTCCACCTTAACTTAAATTTCATCAAATCATTTGTCTTTATGCTAGATATGCTTGGCTCCACCTGCAATGAAAGTCTCACAATCAGCTTCTCTTAAGTGTCTTCACGTTTCACGTAAACCGATCATCAATCCTCAAAATTTAAACTCAAACTCTTTTTTAAAACTAAACGCCTCTGGACTTACATCTTCTTATGTCTTGAACCATGCTCTGATACCACTTATTAGGCCAAAAGTCTCAATCTAATTTATGTCAGTGGAAGCATAATCAAATAATTAATTAAACACATAAGAGACAACAATTTAACATGGTTCGATCCAATCGACCTAAGTCCACAGATGAGAAAAAAGATCTACTAGTTATAAAGAATTACAAATATAAAATTCAAATCATCAACCTCTCTCAACAATCAATACTCATAAGACACTTTCAATTTTCTCTAGTCCTATAGAGTATTCTCAACCCAAACAAACATATAACCATGTGCACCTTTTCAACACAAACAAACACATACCCATATGTACCCATTCATCATATCTATGTGGACTCTCTTAGTCTCATTTAGTCCACTCTCAAACATTCAAACATACACACCCATAAGATATAAATCCCCAGTACTCCTATAAGGTGTCTATCCTATAAAATTCTACAACTCTCTTACATCTTTTTCTCATACTTAACTCCATAGAGACTCCATCTATTTATAAAGCATACAAACTTACCTATTAAAAAACTCTTTCTGTTTAAATTTTTTTTTTTTGCAAATCAAACTTGCCTATTAAAAATCATTTTTCCTATTAGAATTCTTCTTCTAAAAGTTTCCTTGTCTATCAAGTAATATTTAGTCAATCCTAAATAAATCTCTTATGGGATTTGAATCACTATTTCCAACAGTGCTGAGATGTTAAAGAATGGTGGATATAGCAAAACTGGGTTTGGTGGTACTGGTACTAGACCAAAGATTAAAAAATTATCAAGTCTCATCAATGGGATTTTAAAGGATGTTCTGCATATGAAATTTAATGGTGTTGCCTCTATTTTTGCTATGTTTTTTTGTTTCATTTTTTTTTTTGCCTAAGTGGTAGTTATGTAATGTACCAAGTGTGGTTTGAGAGTGATAAAATGAAAACTTTGTAGATGTAAACCGTTCAAACATAACAACGAAATAAAAAGCTTTTGCTCCAACTTTCTAAGAATGATTAATTAACTAGTTTTTAATAATTTTAATGCATGTCATTTCAAATTGTAATTCATTTAGTTGAAGCTGTTATTTTTTAAAAAAATCAATAAAAAGGTATTTAAGTTTATAAAGGTAAACTATCATTGATAGTAGTAGAAGTTGCAACAAATATCAAAACAAAATACACTACATAGATGAGGATACAAAAGACTGTTATATCAAGAACTGAAAATGACACTATCAAATAGAATGATAAAAACAAAAACACTCCAATTCACACTTCATCAAGCAAAATAATAATCTGATAACCAACAAAAAGAATAATTAATCAAATAAATAATATAGTACTTAAGCTTTAATCATTACAATTTCCCAAAAAATTACCTTTTGTTTAATTATTTTTTCATGTTGGCAAAAAACAAAAGTTAAAAAAGTAGCAGCCATTTACAAAAAGTTCCTTATATACTAATTCTTCTAGAATGTGGCGACTTGAGATTTAATTTTATCTTTTTATGGAAGCATATCTAGCAACATATCCTACATAATACAAAATAAAATATCACTCGAATAATTAAAGCACATCATGAAAAAATATAAAATAAACAAAAGATCAACATACCATAAAATATTAAAGTTCCGTCACATTAATAGTGCTAGAAGTTAACTTTGAATTGAACTCATTATTGCAATATTCATAAAACCATATAAATAAAAATTGCTTCTTTTAAAGTTAAAAAATATAGAACAAAGTAAAAAAAATGGGCTTAGTTGATTACTTCCTTTAGTTGTTGATACTTATCACAAGTATGCTTTGTATGACTTAGCGATTACAAGATGAACATGTCATACTCTTTTTACCACTTTTCTTAATACTATCTTTTTTCCTTACTAAAGGAGGGCATCTTTTGGTAAGAACATGTAAAAGATCTTGTAACGTCATTTCGGCACATGAAACATTACCGTTGTTGCCCTGAAAAGCTACATAATTCGTAATGAAATTTAACTTCCTAGCCTCATCAACTTCAGCATTCTCAATGATCAAATTATTAAGTTCTTCACATAAGTTTTTGATATCTTAAATTGCATTATCATAATGCTTACTTCATCTTGTTGCCTTTTTAAAAAGACCAAGATAGTGTAACATAACACTGTTAAACCACATAATGATGATTTATTGATCTTATCAACAAGCATATTTTATCGTATTTCTACAGTAGCATTTTTCTTAGCATCTCATGTCCACATACATAAAATGTATTGAAAAGGTAATGAAAATACCTATTTTTTAATGAAAATTGCCAAAATGTGTTAACACAACATTCTCATAAGTTCAAACTTGTGGCAATTACACATGGCATCTTTCAATAACACGATAAAAGTTACCATGTAAATAGGCTTCTCCTTACCAATCTCATGCACCTTGTATATTTTTGAATTACCATTGACTTCAATTTGATCAATAACATACTCTTGAGCATGAATCAATTCATTCTGAAACATTCTAAATAACTTTTTTCTATATATGAGAAATGTTTTAGCTTTCATAAGATATAATGTCTTCAAATTGGATTTCGAATTATAGTCTTCAAGCTTTTTTCAAATTCTTTGTTGTACCGAACAGCCAATGCCTCTTAAAATTTCACCACAAATTTACTAACGAAAGTACTAGCATTAACATAGTCATTGAAAATTTTATTCAAACTTTTGCTTTCTTTGAGTTGTTGACAGTCCAACACAAAATGTGTTACATAAAAAAGCAAGTACCTATTTCTCATGAATGGAATAAATTTTATCCAACAAAGAAATACCTTGTAATTTATAGGTTTCCATAACTCTCATCCAAGCAGCTTCAAACTCATTAAGTGTAATTGTGTTGTGAATACAACTATTGAACTCTTTCTTAAAATCATAATTATGATGGTAAACATGACTCAAAACTTCAGGAAACTTCTTCTTAATATGCCACATATAAAAATGGTGATTTGCATTAGGTAAAACTTTTGTAATTGCATTAGTAATTGCAGCATCTTGATTTGTGATAATTGTTGTTGGTAGACATTCATACATAGCTTCAAGCCAAGTTCTCAATAACCAAAAAAATGTTTCTTCAGTTTCATCCCATAACAAAGCATATCCAAATAAAATGGACTAAAAATGATGATTCACATCGACAAAGGGAACAAAAGGCATCTTATACTTATTTGTTAAATAAGTAGGATCAAATGCTACCACATCACCAATATGTTTGTATGCCATCCTAGATCTCGCATCTGCCCAAAAGCAATTTGCAAGGCAACCATCGATATCAGTTTGAATTGCATAAAAAAAAACTTAGGTGTTTTTTATTGGCAATCATGAAAATAATCTAACATTATTTAAGTATCTTCTTTTTCCAATTACTTTCGCCTTCTACAACTTAAATAGTTAAAAACATCATGCTTAGTCATATTAAGAATACCAATCCCACCAAACTTATGAGATAAAATAGAAACTATTTTACTTGGATAAATATTGGAATCATCAATAACATCTATAAGATCTCTTTGAACTTTTGCTCGTACTCTATGTGAGCGACTAAATTGCATGCTATTTGGTGAAGCTAGCATATGATTATGCTCTGCATGAAATTGGGAAACAATCCATTTTTTTTCTTTCATGGATATTTAAAGCACTGCTTTACAACCTTCTCTTATCTCATATGGTTCTGCACACAATCTATCTTCTTTCTCTAAGCATTTTTTTGCTCACACACCTTCTTTTAAACAAACAAATTCTTGATCAATCATTGCTTGATTAGTTCTTGATCTAGTAATACGATTTTTCCATATACCAAAGCCTTTGGATCTCATATATTTATTTTAATATTCTTGAGCATCATTTGATGACTCAAATTCTATGCAAACTTATGGTTCTAATAATGTCTCAATCCTTGATTCTTCGATGACATGCTCCATTACATTTTCACCTCTAAATACTTATTTTATTTTCATGTTATCAATCTTATCATCCTCAACTTCTTTCATTTCCATCATATCAACCTCTTTTATTGACATATTTTACATTTTAATGTTGACAAAAAAAAGGCAAAGAAACAATCTAAATATTCAGTTTAATTAGGATATAAAAAACATAAAAAGTTATATGTCATACATATAGG